TCCGAGCTGATGATCTGGGTGGACCTGCGATGGTGCTTGCGAGATGGTATTTCCTTCTACAAGTCGCACAACCAGGTTTTACTTACACCTGGACAAGACGGCTGGCTGCTCCCGCAGTATATTTTTCAAGTACAGATCGTGGGCACCAATCGGGCCATCCAGACACCGGATGAAACGCAGCTCCCCACGGCATGGTCAAAGAGGCCCTACAAAAGGCCAGAGGCAAGCGGACTCCGCGCCAGCCCCGGGAAAAAATGCAGATGCGACGGTGTCAGCCGCACACCTGCCAACCCCACCGAGCCCAGACCTTTCAGAATGCGCGTAGGACACAGCTCCCAAACTGCCTTCATCCCTGTTGCATTTCACCTGTGTCCGCCTTCTTGCCTGCCCAGCACACTAAGCTCCCACATGCCCATGCCCAGATCTTTGGACACGTCGCGACACATCTCGAGGTGGGATCCGACGGTATGCGTTGGTCGGCGCCGAGAGAGAGTGCGGTGATGTCTTGCTTGCTCAGTAACACTTGCAATGCCGCAATAAGAGGGGCCCCCAGGTGCAGCAGGGTCAGGTCGATGCATATCAACTTATGCCATCACCCTCTCCAATTGCCTCATGCCAGAACCCACATTGAGCCTATAATCACCCAAGTGCACCCATCGGACCCCCCACCTGCGGATATCACAGCATTGGGTCTACTCAGCTAAGCAATGACACTAGCAGCTACCACCGTCCACAGCCAGTCTCACACATGCCTAGCCCGAGCTCGCAGCTCAGATCGTCCCGTCGCCTGCGTTCTCGACTGAGGGAGAGCGGCGAACAAGCCACGGGACCCCTGCAAGAGCTCAGAGATGAGGCGATAGCCAAGGCGAAGGCCAGGGCGCAGCAGAACACAGCCGGCGGCTAGAGATGAGCGAGGGGACACAGCTCAGTCGTGGTGGTATGAGAACCAATGGGACGCTCCATGGTATACAGAGGCTCAATGGGCGGAATGGGGGAACTGGAGGACGTGGTCTCCACACTCCAGCAACTGGGAACACACCCAGGACGAGGCGAGCTCTGCTGCGTCCACGTCCACCGCTCCTCAAGTGGCGATGGATCGGCACACGGCCCAGAGTATGTCGGAACTCCTGGGCGGGCATGGGGATCAAGCTGGAGGACACGTGCAAATGGCGCTGCAGCCGCTGGCCGCGCTGCCGTAGGGAGAGGCACAAACCATTCTGAACTTCCTGTCAGCTCTACCACATCCATCGCAGCTACCTCGGACTGGTGCCACCCAAAACCAAACAAAACAATGACAGCTCCTGCGGAGCCGAGGGGGCTAAGGCTACAGAGGCTACACGCGAGCATGAGCGAGGAGCCCACTCTGGATGAAGGCGTCCTCGACTCGAGGATCCTTGGCAATCAGATGCTCACCCGCTCTCCGCCACGGCGTCGACTCTGGGAGAGTGGAGGTTCGCGTGCACCCCCGCGATGCAGGCAATGTCCAGTCCAGACCGCAACCTGAACCGGGGTTGGCGACCTCCGCGCCCCGGGGGTCTGTGGAGGTCCACGCGGCAACTCCTGGCTCGGCAGCCCGGCGCTCCAGGACGTTAGAGCCGAGACACTGCACTGATATGCTTCGGGCAGCGGCAAGCACCCGAGCGCTGAAAATCAGACATTTTGGCGGCGCTCAGGCAGCTGGGGAACTGCTGAGGACACCCGCGAGGATCCATGATCTAATGCAATTTCTTGCCCAAGGATCCTTCCGCCAGTGCCTCAACAAGTACCACCAGGCACGGGAGGGCCGTGCAGTGCGCGAGGATGGAACACCGTTCAACATTCCAGCTGCGGAAACTGGCTGTGGTCGCTCAGCGCGTCGTTGGTGGTGGCCCCCAGAGCCTAGGGGCCCGCCAGGCGCACGAGTCCCTAGGGGACGCCATGAAATGCTGTATATTCACGGTGTTCGCTGCCCAGACGCCATCTGCGTTGTCTCTGGTGGAAGACTGGGCTGCGCTAGCCACGCATCTTCATGCCCTCCTCCACGACGTTCCGGCAACGATATACTATCGATTAAAACCTGGAAGCAATCCTGGTCGACATTGGCCGACATACTGGACGGCTGGCTCTGCTTTGACGACCCACTGCCTCTGGAGGATGGGGAGGCAGACCATCCCGTGCCTATGCAGGGCTCTCGACTTCGTACCGCCTCGACCAGTGGACCCAGGCTGGGGTCCAGGATTGCGGCAGAGGAACGCTCTCAATGGATTGTGGCTTCCACTCCATCTGAGCAGCCGGGTGCAACACAGCCTGCCCGAGATCCCGCGATGCAAGAGGCTGCAAAAAGAAGTCGACTACCCATCATTCCATATACACACACCTGCACCTGCAACACGGAACGAATGCATAGGCAAGCGCGGAAGGCGGTGGCGTTTTCAAAGTCGTCCTCGACGCAGGCCCTACAGAAGGCCGCCAGGTTTGAGGTGCCGGAGCATGCAGCAAACACTCAACAGCAAGCTGTATCGATGCTCAGGAGCCCATCAGCGATGCCCTCAGTCTGCAAGACCCTTACTGGCACTCTCTATCCATGCAGCTACTCCTAAGCTTATACCCACAAGGTTACGACGACGAGCAAAGCACACAATCAGTGCGGCTTGCCCGGTCCCAAGTCCGGGCTCCGTCCTCCGACGGGGGGGGTGAGGGTTCCTGTCCCGGCAGGGACGGGGGGACCCAAACCAACAGGACACATAGACCCACACATGGTGGGGAAGCATGCACCAGGCGGCACCACAGCGCCGGTGAGCAGAGCCGTACGTGTTATGGAGGCCACAGGCTTTAAGAGAAGTTTCAGGAGAGCACAGATACGATGCGCACAACATCAGCAACACCACACTCTCTATAAAGGCAAGCCAACCCCAGGCAGTCAGTTGGGCCTCCACACTGCCATGGTAGATCACGGCCCTGCTGGACCAAAGCGTAGACCTGCCTGTTGACGTCGAGGGGGCCAGACACAGCGACTCCGAACATAATCAGTCAATGTAAACAGTCTGGGCGGTTTCTTATGGAGTGAGGTTAAGGTCTTCTTGAGTAGTGAAGGACTTCAGTATGACTTTGTTTTTCTCCAAGAAACCCACCGTGAGGCCTCAAGCACCTTCCAGATCGATCGTTGGACAGCCGTTGGATCGGCCACGAAAAGAGGTGAAGGCATTCTCACCCTTGTTAACCCCAAATACGACGCCTCCACTGTCCGATACCAAGAAATCATACCAGGCAGAGTCCTCAGGGTCAAGGTATGCAAAGACGACGCGGCGATAGAGACCCTAAACGTGTATCAACACGTCTGGGTGCATACGGATGAGCCTGAGCAAAACCAACACCGCCGACAACAACTGCTGGACCGATGCACAGCCTCAATTCAAGGGATGGCACGTCGTGATACCCTTATCCTGGCATTTGATTTTAATTCCGAGGTGCAGCACACGCCTAGACTAGTTGGGCACAGTCTGCATAGTTCAGAATACCACAAGGCCCTGGATCCGCATACTCTCACTAGGTTTGTCCAGCAGAATGACCTGGTTGTACTCAATACCTGGCACATGCGAGACCCGTGTACCAACTACACCCGCACAGGCAATTCTCAGATAGACTTCTTCGTCATGGTTCGTGTCCTGAATGCAGATCCACTATCGAAGCGACTGCTCAAACAGCCTGCGCCCTTTGGAGCCTGGAAAGAGATGACGCACCATGCGCTCATTGCGAGTATACGAGTCATTCGGCACTTTCACCTCCCTAGACCTGCCACGCAGCTGAGTACCAACTATGCAGTCAAAGACCTGGACAATGCTTACAGGCGCAATGATCCACGCATACAAGAGCTACAGCAACAGATTCAGCGACGTCTGCGCAATACTGAGACACCTACTGCTGAGCTACTTACTTAACCGCATGCTAATCCAGGAAGTGGCGAAAATCTTCCCCACACAGTCCCGGGGGAAACAGGGCAGAAGCAGATCTGTGGCGGTGCTACGTGCATTTTTCACTGCATGGCGGGAACAACTAACACTACCGGACGGGGAAGGAGGATCTGTTCCGTCCCTGCCCACTCAGGTATATCACATGTGGCAACGCCGTATAAAGACCTCCTTAAGAGTAGGCTATACGACGCCGCGGGAACTATCCGGACACGGAAGTGGCTGGTTCTTTTCATTAAAGCGGGTCGCCAGAGTAAGCAATACCACACTCAGAACCAAAGAGCCATTACTCTCGGTAACCTGCAACTTGCGGAAAGGGCACTGATGAAACTTTACACCGCCTCGTGTAGCTTGTGCGCTAGAGTGTGTTTGAACAGT